TTCTACGAGAAACTAGAGGAACTGATAAATAATTTACCTAAACAGGACATGCATATTATCTTAGGAGATTTCAATGTAAAGATTGGGAAGGAAGCAGCGTACAAACCAACAATAGGTAACCATAGTCTTCACGATGTTAGCAACTATAATGGAACAAGGCTAATAGACTTTGCAACATCCCACAATCTACTAATAAAATCGACAATGTTTGAACACAAGAATATACACAAACAAACATGGGTCTCCAACGACGGCGTCACAAGAAATCAGATTGATCATGTTCTAGTAGATGCCAGGAGGGGTAGTAACTGTCTAGACGTAAGAAGCCTAACAGAAGCTGATGGAGACACGGATCATTTTCTTGTTAAAGCGAAGATAAGGACAAGAATAGCGTCCAAAAAAACACACAAGAATACACCAACAAAATTATGGAATACCGAAGTTCTACGTCATAAGGAGAGAGAACAGAAATTTCAAAAGGCTATAAAAATCGCTCTAGCACAGACAGAAGACTATAACAACATAGACTCAGCTTAGAAAAATATCAAAGTAGCTCTGACAAGCGTATCAGATGAAATACTAGGACACAAAAAGAAAACAACAAAAAAATGGTTCGATGATGATTGCCTGAACTCCATATTAGCAAGAAATATGGCTAGAAGGAACATGCTACAAAACCCCTCGCACAACAACAATGAAATGTATAGACAAAGAAGAACAGAGACAAGAAAACTAATGAAAAGGAAGAAGAGAGAGTATCAGGAACAACTAATCAGAGATATAGAAAAAAAAAGAAAGAACAAACAAGCGAGACAGTTCTTTAAAGAAGTTTTACATATCAAGACCGGGTACCAAGCAAGAACAGGAAACTTTCTTCAAAACGACAGTGAACAGCTTATCACTGATGACAAGGAAATCTTAAAAACCTGGAAGAAATACTTCTATCAACTATTGAATGACCAATCTAGCAGAAGTACATCAAACATAGAGGTACATACAACTGAAATAGAAGACCAATACCCGACATACGAAGAAGTAATACAGGCAATTAAAAAACTCAAAAATAATAAGACACCAGGTAGCGATGGTATACCCGCAGAGTGCTTAAAACATGGAGGAGAATCGTTGTGCAGTTCGATATACAAGCTAATTCAAGACATTTGGCAAGAAGAAACAATGCCAGATGAATGGAAAGAAGGGGTTATTGTACCAATACACAAAAAAGGAAACAAAAAGCAATGTATTAACTACAGCGGAATAACACTCCTAAACACCACCTACAAAATCCTTGGAAACATCCTTCTAGAAAGAACCCAAACATACACAGAAGAAATCGTTGGAGATTATCAATGCGGATTTAGACCGGGCCGCTCTACAATTGACCAGATATTCACAATAAAACAGATAATGGAAAAATGCTTTGAGTTTGATCGTGAGCTTCATCAGATGTTCATAGATTTTAAACAAGCATTTGATAGAGTATGTAGGGACAGACTGTGGACAGCGATGCAGGAACTTGGCTTTCCAAAAAAACTAGTCCGGTTGATACGGATGTGTATGGAACGGTTACGATGTAAGGTAAGAGTTGGACAACAATACTCGGAGACATTTGAAATAAACAATGGACTAAAACAGGGAGATGCACTTTCACCACAACTCTTCAACTAAGCTCTGGAGCACATAATCAGAAGTGCAAGAATCGAAAAACCGAATACAGTATTTCATCGAGAAGGACCAAACTTACTACTGGCATTTGCAGACGATATAGATCTAATAGGAAACACGCGATTAAGGATGAAGGAGACTTTCGTAAGGTTTGAGAAGGAAGCAGAGAAGATGGGGCTTCAAATCAACGAAAACAAGACGAAATATATGTATATGAGCCGCAATAACCAAAGCAGAGACAGAGTCGGTCAGAACATTACCATCGATGATTTTAACTTTGAGCACGTTAGAGAATTCAAGTATCTTGAAACAACAATAACTGAAGACAATAACGGATCACAAGAAATAAACAACAGGATTCAGGCCAGCAACAGATGTATTTTTGCCCTCCAAAACCTTATACAATCAAAACAACTAACACGACGTACGAAGATACAGGTCTATAAAACAACCATACGACCCGTTGTAATGTATGGAAGCGAAACGTGGACGATAACAAAGGCAAATGAAGAGAGACTACGTGTTTGGGAAAGAAAAATCCTAAGGAAGATCTTTGGTCCGGTGCTTGATGAAGCATCAGGATAATATAGGATAAGAACTAATAAAGAGCTTGAAGAACTTTACCCAGACGCCAACATCATAAAAGAAATAAAGTCCAGAAGACTCCAATGGGCAGGACACCTCAGAAGACATTCTGACGAACGAACAGTAAGACTGGTGTGGAAGGAAGTCTCAACTGGAAGGAGACTACGCGGACGCCCTCGTCTCCGGTGGCGAGATAATATAGCAGGAGACCTAAGCACTATGGGCGTGGAGAATTGGATGGAGGTTGCTCAAGACAGAAAACAGTGGAGGCATGTTGTCGAGTCGGCTAAAACCCACGAAGGGTTGTAACGCCACGGAGTAAGTAAGTATTTTATTTGTACATTTTACCGAGTTGTCATGTACCTACTTTGTCTTCGAGACATTAACTTCTAGACTCATAATATGTGCCGCTTCTTGTATATATGTATAATTTTTTTCTAGGCATTTTAATGTAATTATAGTAGGTATGTAGGTAGTAGGTAGTGGTAGTAATTCTAATATAATTATATAGTATAATAGGTTTATTTTAATGAGAATAAGCCACAATTGACACAAATAGTTCGCAAAATGCAAACATTAATAAATTAAACAAATTTTGTTTTTTGTTACTTGGAGAAATATTCTTCTAATAATTTTATTTTATCTGACTATTACGAGTATATATAACCATAAAACACTGAAAACTTTGTTTTCAAACTTTTACAAAATTTATTTTAACTTACCACTACAGCTGTTTCGGCTGATTGCCTTTCTCAAGTGATCTATTTTTGGCATGCGTTTATAGTTTATTGTCTCTAATAAAATAGGTTGAGGAGGGGAGAACTGTTTGTCTCAAGTTGGTCATTCAAAATTATATGTGTGTTTTTTAATTTGTTAATTTCCATAGATTCTAACAAGGATAGCTTAAGGCACTTATTTTGAATGTGAAGAATTTTAAATTCGTCATTAAAAAAATGATTGTGATCTAGAAGGTGAAGTGCGTATGTAGACTCTGTTTTTCTATTATTGAAAGCCCTTTTATGTTCTGCTATTCGTTTATTAAAGTTTCTACTATTTTTGTGGATATTTTGCCTGTGTTGGGACCGTGCAAGTTCGGAACAGCGACACCTGGTGTCGTAAATCAGCCAAATTTACTGCGCTTTCATGTTAGATCGAGGTTACCGGATAACTGTCAAGGACGTGGCCCCAAAAAAGAATAAGAAGAAAAAGTAAGATTGTGGTTATGTCGGTATGTTATTAAAAGGTAAACGTTGATGTAGCGTAAATACAAATAAATATATTATTGAATTACAGCATTACTGTTAATATAGATGCAATAATAAAAACTGGATTTGAGAAAGTAAATCACCAAATAACTTTTCAACCAAGCACGAGTCAAAGGGAAAAGCTTTAGTAGTGGCAAATGTCAAAAAATAATGGAAGAATTTTGTGGAGTGAAAGAATTAAGAAAAATAAATTACCATAAATAATGCTAATGCATAAATAAGCAGGTTAAGCCCATGATATCATCATATTGGTTTGAACAATTAATTTTTTCCCTGTAAACTTTTGGACAGCGAATATATCTTAATGCATCTTCAGAAAAACTTGAACTTGATGCATTTTTGTAAATTTAAAAAAAAATAAAATTCAAACATTAAAATTGATTTTTGGGTTAAAATGAACTCTAAGTGAGTGTTATGAAACTAAAATTTACACTTAAAAGTGAACTTTTATTTATTTATTTCAAACTGACTTTAAAATCGGGCGCAAGAATAGTGCATAATTTGGGTTATGTTACTTATGCTTTTTTATGATATAAATCCACTTTTCTCTTTGTAGTAGCTTTGTGCTTCGAAGTTGGAAACGAATAAAATTTAAATTGACAATTTTTTGTTGTATTTTTACAATTTATAACACAGCATTTCCTACATCCCATTTTCTTCAGTGACAGAAGGTCTAAATAAACAAAACGAATATGAAATATGACAATTGACAATATGAATTTATGAAATCTATAACCTATGAAATGTACAGTAAAAAATGCAAAATTTTTCCACTACTCGCGCACGATCGTTTCTCGTATCCCCTCCAAGTACTTGCACGTCGCCAATATGTAATCGAGCAGAAGGTACTGGGATTTTTCTCTGGTGGTGGAAATACTAATTTCAGGGCTTTCTTAGGTAGTTTTTGATTTAGCATTTTATTAATTTTAAATGTAAGTTTTGTTTTTGCAATAGAGTAAATATTGAAAAATCAGAAAGATAAAGAAAGAAGAAGAATGTTTTAAAGATATTCATTGAAATTGGCTTTAAATTGGTTTTGTCTTCAAAAAGTCTTAAAATATTTTTTTTGTGTATATTTTATTGTATTTATTTACGCTGATTGATAAGATAATGGCAAAATTTGATAATTGTATTATTCTTTAAATAAAATAAAGAATACCAATTTTCTGTAACATACTATTTTAATTATTATCCTTTTTTCTCTATCCCGATAAAGGACAACTAGGAAATCTTTGGACCCACACAACATTGGTTAATATTTTAGGATTTTTCACCCTGAGAACAATTAAGTTATGTTTTTGATTTGTTGCATTAATCAAGTAAAAAAAGTAATAACATAACAATATGTATATATTTATTTTTATTATATATATATATATATATATATATATATTGTTGGAAAGGAAAGGGTTGTATATATGTATATGTGAATAATTAGGTTTTAATACAAACAAATACATGAAATGGTGGGGAAAAATTTATTTTCCACAATTAAAATAAAACTTATAATTTTTAAATACACATAGTTTTGCTATAATTTTAATATTTACTAAATTTTCCAGCAAATAAGGTTAGTCCATCACTTTTTAAATAAAATAGAAACGGATGATTTGCGAAAAATTTATAATTCTCCTTTGGAGGAAAGTTAGACACAGCAATAATTTTAGCTGAAAAAAAAAACGAAAGATTATTCAAAATATTATTTATATTGTTTAAATTAAATTTTAAACAGCTTAATATTTAAAAGTGTTACATTAAAAAATCATAAATTCGAAATACTACCAGGTACCATTTTTGAGATAGATCATCTAAAGAAAGTTTCGTAACTTAGTCAGGGTCGATAGCACATAACTTGACTTTATTTTCCCTCATTAGAGGTTGCTATCATATATATTGGTATATCTTTACGTATCAAATCTCGTGTCAAGAAGTTTATTTACGCTAATCCCAAACCATCAAAACAATTATAATGAAATTTTGTGAAAATAAATTTTGTTTGGTCCAACATAAGAGATTTTTTTATTTTCTACAATATCCCTTATTTTTTTTATTGTTAATTGTAAATATAATCTTTTAAGACTCCAAGGAAGATTTAAAGGGTTAGAAAATATGACGACATTGTAAGTCATATAGTAAAAACTTTAATTTTAACAACAAGAGGAATCGTCAGATTTCCTACTTGGCGAAACTGAATTCAAATCTTTACCACTGTGATTTCTACAACTTGCAAAGTAGACAGATTTATGAATTAGTCGGCAAGGGAATCTAAAATATCTATTCCACATGCCAAATGAAATAAATAAGAATGAACTGATAATTAAAATGAAACCTATGGAAAACGCCAAAGAATCATTTTCCTATTTATATATCAATAAATAAAGCTTTTAGTGACGATTCAACAACTTATATTTTCGAGATTTATTTATGAATATACTTTACCATAACATTACTCGGAGTTCGGTCCTGACAGGTATTCTAATTAGTGCGAATTTGTTAGCTCCAAACAAAAACAGTTATTGAGATAGTAGTTATTGATTACAATTTTTTTGTTTTATTAATATAAGTGCATAAGGCTCTTCCATCCTGTAAATACTCTTTAAAATTATATAAAACAGAGTCATTTCACGAAATTTATTGTACTTATCATAAGTCGGCTTGAAATAAAAACTCTAAATAAGTTTATTCGTTACCTATAATGACATAATTAAAATTTCCTGTTATAAAAGTGATCCGTATTTCAGGTCTAAATAAATTTTAAATTATAAAGAAAAGATGTTAAATCCAACTGACGGGACTTCTAACTACAGAAGCTTCCAAAAGAAAAATAATACTAAAACTTATTCTTCTGATATAATTAAACAACAATTCCGTACCAAAGATCAAGCTATTGTATTCCCAGCCATTGAAAACCTAAAACTTCAAGATTACCTGATTCCATTAGGAATGATATTGATCGAGCCCAAAAATATTCTATTTTCCTCACGGTTTTCTAACTACAGTATGTACGTACCTTTTAAACAAAAATATTGTTGAACATTTTATGAATAATTATATAATTATGGAGGGTTTATAGAAATGAATAACCAACAAGTCCAAGCACGCAAACTAGTCACTCCAGCAGAAAGACTAATTCTATCAAACGTTTGTCTCACTATTTCGCATGCTTTACTTACTTAAGGCCATTCCTCGCGATTCTGGGCATAACTAAATTCCAATGTAAAAGTTTATATCAAATAACGCAAAAACTATGGCAGATATTGAGATGATTCTTTTTTTATATGAAAGGTCTTAAAAAGTTCTAGTGCACTATTTGATTGTAAATTAATAAATTGTTTAAACAATATTTTTTTTTTAAATATTTTTGGTTAAAATAAACGTAAAAATTTTTTTTTTGAAATAGGGCACTACAGAATTTTACCCACTTTCCGAATCTGTTTTTATTTTTAACATAAAGTGTAAGACAAAGCAGCTATTTCATATAAACTATTTAAAAAATGTTAAATTGTGCTAAATGTACTCTCTCTCTCGGTCAGTACAAGCTGTCCTTGTTGATAGTTTGTAGACTCTCGCCGACGAGTAGGTAAGAAAGTTGGAGGGTCATAAATAATGTTGAATAACATTATTAGGGCTTATTTCGACTTCTGACTAGTTTTGACAAACCAGTGTGTTTTGTTGTTTTTAAAATGGGTAGTTCGCGAAGACGTTTATGCTCCGGACGAAAAAGTCGACGACGATTGAGGAAATTTTATATAAATAAGCAGTAAGTACCTATAATTTGATTAAATTTTTATATGAATAGAAATATTTTCTGTTGAGTTGTGACATTTTCCTTCTAAATGCTTATACTGTTTTTATAATAATACTATTGTTTCAATATTTACTTATATAATTATAATTTATTATGTAGAAACAGAGTAGAATTTTGGTCAATCGGTCAGTACATTTTTTTGTATTTCAATCAGAATTATTATTTTCTTTTCTTCTTTACATGAGCTTAGAGTAATACCCAAATAGTTTGCAGTATTTGAATATGGAGTTTGATTAATTATATTTATTGGACTATTTATTTTGAACGTTTTTGTTAGTAAAGTTTACATAATATATTTCGTCACTTGCTTGTCCAGTCATATTAGTCCAGAGTAATAAGGATTTTCTCGTGACAATCAATAATCCAGGTAGCTGACAACTATTTTAGTTATTTTTTTTTTCTACTTTTAATATTTTCTTCTCTGCATTCAATCTTCTTTCGCATTGTAGAATTTCTTGAAAGAGGAAATAAACTTTTCAATATGAAGTTGATTTTCAATATATCGTGTGTTAAATACCGAAATGTCAAAAGTCAAAATCTACAACTTTTCAGGAGAGCGAAAAAACTTCGCCGCTTGGTACATATTTTTTTTCTCAATACTTACTTAATTATTACAACAGAAATAAATTTATCGAATTATTACATCAGAAAAGAAAGTAGAAAAAGAAAACACGTGTACTAAGCAGTGACGTTTTTTTCGCTCTACTGAAAAGTTGTAGATTTTGACTTACGAGGTTTCGGTATTTAACCATGTATATATCATCATCAACCATCATCATAAATGCCTAGACAATCCGTCTTGGCCTGCTCGCACAAAAATCGCCACTCCTGTTGATTCCTGGCAACTTCCCTTCATCTTCTGACCCTTAGAATCCGCTTCTGACACATTATCAATCCATCTTCTTCGTGGTCATTTTTAACTTCTTCTGCCCTCTGGTTTTGAAAATGTTAATCTCTTCATGTATTCGTGATCTGACATCCTAGTAATGTGTCCAGCCCATCTAAGTCTCTGAGACGCTATACTCCATTTTCATTTACGACCTCAAAAATCTTTCTAAGAATTTTTCTCTCAAAAATACCAAGAAGTCTTTCATCATTTTGAGATAAGATCCGCGTTTTAGCCCCATATATCAAAATCGGTCTTATCAAAAAGTTCTTGTATATATCGAGCTTTACTGCACGTTTTATATTTTTATTTTTTAAATGTTTCTGGAGACCGTGAACAGTTCTGTTTTCTATTGCTATGCGTCGTTTTATTTCGTTGCTTGTCGTGTTTGTTGCGTTTACTAGCGATCCAAGATAAGTGAATTCTTTGACTTGCTCAAAGGTATGGTTGTTAATTTGAATTATCTGTTGGAAAACCAACCTATATTTGGTTTTTCCTCATTTACCATTTCTAATTAGGACCACAAGTCCTAATTCACTTGCCGCGTCCGCAAGCCTTGTAAAACACTGCACCATGTCTCTTATGGTTCTATTAAAAATAGTTACATTCATTATAATATTGTATTTTCTGGTTGCCTTTTCCAAGGCAACATTAAAGAAGAGACAAGCCAGCGTCTCCCCCTGTCTTATACCATCATTAACGTCAAAGCACATGGAGTTTTCTCCTTCAATTCTAACGCACGAACTCACGTTTTACATTGTTAGTTGGGTCAACTTAACTAACTTCGGTGGGATCCCAACCAAAGTCTATCATTGCTTAATACTGTCATAGGCTGTCATAACGTGTATCTATGTTATATTCTAGTGGCTTTTCTAGAATCTGCCCATGTGTTTGAATTTGATGTATAGTTGATTATGCAGCAGTAAATCAACAATATCCTTTGTAAAATGTTTGTCTTTCAAACAATACATTGCCGAAGATTTTATACGCAGATGCTAACAGAGTAATGCCTCTATAGTTCTTACAATCCAGCTGATAGCCCTTTATGCAACGCATATTATTTCATTTAGCCACTCTTCTGGTACCAATTCATTCTGCCATATAAGTACTATTAGTTTATGGATTACTGCAAAAAGTTGATCATCACCTTTTCATACATTTCCCAGCAGATTTAATCGATTCCTGTGGCTTTATTTACTTTATGTTTTAAGACGGCATTTGACACTTCTATTATTGTTGGGTCTTCACTATGTAGTTGACAATGTAGATTTTGTTGATTGTCTATGTTGTAACCTCCTTCAATATCGTGTATATAATGTATTATATAAATAGATATAATATGATATAATAACAATGTACCTATACTCGTAATATGATATAATCCGTATAAAACGTCTTCCGACGTCCATTTTTCATTGAATTCGGTTGTTCCATTGTTCTTTAAGTACTTTCGAGCGCATTGAGTTTTTTATTCGTTCCATCCGTGTTTTCTACGGTAGTCCTTTCTTCTGGATTCCTGTAGTTGTTCATAGATGTACTTGTTTCGGGAGTCTACTGTCTTTCATTCATTGGACATGTCCGTACCATTTGAGATGCCTTCATTGTATGCCATCCATGACTGTACCTTCTATTCTCATACTTTATTGCATCCATTTCAGCGACATATCTTTCTTCGATGTCTCTGTTAATCGTCTCGTTTCACAACCGTGTAAATAAAAGCATGCTTTTTACCATAGTTTCATGGGTTCTAGTTCTAGAGAGAGCATGTCAGCTGAGCTAAAACGAAAAACAATCCTCCTGATTGCTTCCACTGGAATAAACTTGATTGTTTAACGGGGCCCGGACTACCTTCTTCTAATTCTTTAAACTCCCGTTTTGAAATTAATAATAATCGTTATTTTGTCTAATTACCTATTTAGTTGTCAAGACAGATACATTGTTACCTAAAGAAGTGAAAGTGGTTCAATTTAGAA